TGACAGAACCTGATATTCCCAAGCGGTCACTAATCTAAGTACTGAGCAATCTCAGCGTTGCTTAACGTCGGTGGTCTTACGGAAAACGGAGTTTCAACGTGATATTGCTGTAGGTCTCTTTTCTATCGCATGAAAAATCCATCAATTATTTCTTTTATTTTCACAAATATTTAATTATATACACATTCATATATATATATATATATTTTAAATTATAATTATTTTCATTAATTAATAAAATAAAAAAAAAACAATTATAATTTAAGTTCTACTTATGTAATGAGCAATGTTATTTAAAAATAAAAAAACAAAAATACTAAAAAACTCCGGATTATTTACCCAACATGTTCTTTCCTATTTTTCTACACACACACACACACAGACACACACACACACACACATATATATATATATATATATATACATATATATACCCATGTACGTATATATATATATTCTAATTTGTGAAAATTTAATCTTTTATTATCTTTTTTCACATACTTTTTTATGCAATATAACTTTATTTATATACGTATTTAGAAACCTATATATATATATATATATATATATATATATATATATATATATATATATATATATATATATATATATATATATATATATATATATATATAAATATAAATATATAAATATAAATATAAAGAAATGGAGCGTTCGGCAGTAAATTCTACCTTTTCTACCGACCGCTCTTTTGTGGCCGAGAGGTTAGGCACGTCAGCGTAAATGACTGTTTCGTATAGGATGCAGGTTCGAATCCTGTCAAAGACGAATATTTTCTATGACATTCAGGCCGGTAAATGTTATTTAATACTGTTTATTATAAACAGAGCATTTACTTAAATACTTGTATCTATAAAAAAGAACGTTAAACATAAAAATGTCTTTAATATATATATATATATTTATGTATATATATGTTAGTTTTACAGTTGTCTTTTTATGCGTCCAAGAGATTAAATATTCATGTTTACATCAAGGCATATATCTATATTTTATAAAAATCCTTGTGCACGTTTAAAAAAATGTCTTTAAAGGTCTAAAGGGTTTTCTGAAAAATTCTTTTATTTTTCAAAAATACATTCACATGCAATCCATATACATGCACAAACATATTTACGCTGGTTCACACACAGACAACCACCCACATATGTATATAAATATATACATACTTATATATATATATATATATATATATGTGTGTGTGTGTGTGTGTGCGTGTATGTGTGTGTGTGTGTGTGTGTGTGTGTGTGTACATAAATACGTGTGAAATAGAGTATTTATATTGCCAAGATGTCACGCCATTTCAATGACTTTATCTTAGTAAAATCTTCTTTTTCTAAGGGCTCCAATTTAAGAACATGTTTTGCCGTGTAGAAAATAAAGCTTCTCTTTATATTTTGTCATTAGGATTTGCTTTCCTTCCGTTAAGGACTCGACATTGTTTGGATTAATTTTTAAAGAAGATTTTGCTTCGCACGAACAGTGTTTGCCAAGCGCAATCTTAATAACGGAACCCACTAAAAGACACCCGAAAATTCTCCATCATGTGCATCTATATATATGTACTGTTCCCGCCAAAATACTTGAACAAATTCATCAAACCTTTTGGATTGCATAATCAACCGCTACACTGACAAATTGATTACACGCATTTTGTAACAACGTTCTTAACAACAATAAAATAGATAAAAAAGAGATAAATAATATTACCTATTAATTCCATTATATCCACAATCCAAAACAATCTATTCAATGTAAACAACATGAAATTAATTACAACACATCCAAAACTATTATGGATATAATCATAACTAAAAATGTCAATAACAACAATAACTCTAAAGTGGGTTTATACAAAATAAATTGCCATAATTGCTCCTCATAATAGATTGGTGAAACGTGCTGAAATTTAAAAAAAAACAAACTTATCTCTGAACACAAAAGACCTTATATAAAGCAATTTATTAAATGATTTAGTTATACATAGAAATAAAATCAACCACAACTTTGACCTAGCGAATTCTACAATTATTAAAAAAGAAACTTACTTAGAATGATAATTCTCAAAAGTGCTGCTAACGAATTTTATAATAATAATTGCATTGTTGTTTCTTATACACTGCTAAGAAAATTGGTTCACTGTGTCGTGTCAGACAATTTTTCTCGAGAGAATCGAATTTTGCGAATGTATAAATCTACCATTCGCCTATACATTGCTATGAAATCTGGTCGGGTGTTCCTCGTATATATCGCGAGATCCTTAACGAAGGAAAGCTCTATAATTTTATCGCTCCTTACCTGGCATCTCAACTTCAGTTATTATCCTACAAGTCATATCTTCCCTCTGCCTTTTTTTTTTTTATAAATATGTTCCTAACAATTATTCCAATGAGCTTTTCTCCTTTGTACCTCGATCACACGAATTTAAGCGTACTACTAGATTGCCAATTAGGTTTTATCGTGTTACTGTTGAAATATCTGTACGTAACTGAAAGTTCTGTTCTAATATTTTTCTCACACTTCTTACCTGTGGAACTCTCTTCCGGTTTATTGCTTCCCTGCCACCTAAGATGTTCAAAGATTTAGTCATCATCAATCGTCATATACTGAACCTGTTCTTTTATTGTCCTCTAAATTCACTAACGCCTTCTCATTTTCTTTCACTCAGTAACCACTTGCGTTTTAATAGCCTTATCACCTTGCTTGATGTATAATCTTTAATATATATATACATTGAATCCATCGCTAGATCAGCTGCTATGAAAGTTAGTTCACTGTGTCGAGCGAGACAGTTTTTCTTTCCGGAATCTATCTTGCATATCTATATGTCTGTCATTCGTCCATCTTTAGAATATTGCTGTCATATGTGGTCCGGTGCCCTTCCTATTTTCCTGGAGCTGCTCGATAACATCCAAAGAAGAATCAGCAATATTATTGGTCCTGATTTCGCGGCTCACCTTCAGAATTCTTGCACATATGCTTACTGCCATGAGGTTGCCTCTCTGTGCCTTTTCAATAAATCCTTTCATGGTAATTGTTCGGATGAACTCTTCGCTATGGTACCTAAACTGTATGAATTTAAGCACAATACTAGACTTAGGGCGAAATCTCATCAATTTGCAGTTGAACCTGCTAGCCGTAACTTCAATGCTAACAGTCTCTTATCTCGCACTTCTTGCTTGTGAAACTCCCTCCCGTCTCCTTCCCCTCCAACCAACTTTAAAAATTTAAATGAAATGCCAATCGCTATCTACTGTCCTCCTGATTGCTCTTTTCTCTTTCTCCTCATTACTAATGTTTCTGTTCCTAATTCCTCCACACCCAGTAACCCCTGGTGTCTTAGTGGCTTTACTGCCTTACAAGGGGTTACACTGATTACTCTTTTTCTATTTCTGCTCATTATTAATGTTTCTGTTCCTAATTCCTCCACACCCAGTAACCCCTGGTGTCTTAGTGGCTTTACTGCCTTACAAGGGGTGACACTGATTACTCTTTTTCTATTTCTGCTCATTATTAATGTTTCTGTTCCTAATTCCTCCACACCCAGTAACCCCTGGTGTCTTAGTGGCTTTTTTTACTGCCTTACAAGGGGTGACACTGATTACTCTTTTTCTATTTCTGCTCATTATTAATGTTTCTGTTCCTAATTCCTCCACACCCAGTAACCCCTGGTGTCTTAGTGGCTTTACTGCCTTACAAGGGGTGACACTGATTACTCTTTTTCTATTTCTGCTCATTATTAATGTTTCTGTTCCTAATTCCTCCACACCCAGTAACCCCTGGTGTCTTAGTGGCTTTACTGCCTTACAAGGGGTGACACTGATTACTCTTTTTCTATTTCTGCTCATTATTAATGTTTCTGTTCCTAATTCCTCCACACCCAGTAACCCCTTGTGTCTTAGTGGCTGTACTGCCTTGATTGGGGTGATACCGATTAAAAAAAAAGAAAAACAAAAGTTGTATAATTAAATTATTAAATTTTTATTAAATTTTAGTTTGATATAAAAGTACCCAGCACATTGTTAGAGAAATCTTAGAATTATCTTTGAACTTTACTCTGCTCATATTATTTATTGTAATCAGTCAATTGTGGAAAGTCATTGTCAAGATTTAGGAAACATTCTCAAGCCAGGCAAATAGGTTCCGTATAGACTTATGGGAACAAACGTGGGCCACTATCTAAAAATGTCTTTCTCTTCTTAACTTTTGGACAAGATAGTCACTAGGATGACAAATTGATTTATCGTAGGAATTCAAACAAAAGAAAATGCTGAATATGATTCAGTATCTCCTGCTAAATAGAATGTACGAAGAAAAAAAGTGAATATCTGTGACTATCAGGATTCAAAATCTATTCTTTTTAGATACGATAGTCATTACGATGACAAATCGATTTATTATAGGAATTCAAACAATCAAAAAACAACTGATAAGGTTCCAAATATTATTCAACATCTCAACCTACAGAATCTAGTGCTTTTCCTTGTCTTGTGGCATTCAAAGACTATTCTTCTCATACGAATTGATGTAACTTGGCTAAACTGTTGGTGTTCAATACATGATTGAGCAATAGGCACCTTTGAATAACATATTGGAAAGCGAGTTCGAAACAATTGAAGTTAGTAAAATCAATTCCACTTGAACATGTGGAAAGGAACCTGTATCAGCATTTTAAATTCTTTTCTTTTTTTTTGCGTGATACAGAAAAAAAGACTTACTTGGATTACATACCTAATCGTGAGTTAAAATGAATTTATTATGAATATCCAATATCATGGCATATTTATAGAGAAAAGACACTTTTTTCTAAGCAAGGATATTAACTTTAGTAATAAATCTGAGACAAAATGAAGAAATTAGGAAAATGTGCTTGATATAAATTTATGAAAAATAATATGTCTATCAACTTGACAGCTACTTCCGTAACAAAATAATATTTCTTTTTATTTCCGGTCTTATTTAACTTTAAATATATTTATTAATAAAGCGTCACCAGCTTTTTTTCTTTAATTACAAACTTCTCTCAATTTCTTCTTCTTCTTCTTCTTCTTCTTCTTCTTCTACACCACCATCATCTTCTTCTTCCTCT